GTATAGATTAAATAAGTGAAACAACAGAAACTAGTTGGTTTCGAAAATCAACCGCTAGCTCAAAAGTATCAAATTTTAATTCATATCATAGCTATGCCATGAAGCAAAGTATAACTACTAATATGGTGAAAAGAATAATAATATGTAATAACAATAAAGAAAAGGAAAGAGATATGTCAGAGTTGAAACAAATTTTAAATAACAGTGGTTATCCACAAAGAGTAGTGCAGAAAATTTTTCAGAAAATTAATAAAAGTGGAGAAAACAAAGACAAAAATGAGAAAAAATATAACAGACAACCCTTTGTGGTAGTAATTCCACATAGACATGTAGTAACTGAAAACTCCGGGATATCTCAGCAAAATTTAATATAAAAGTATATAAGTTACAAGTTTGAATCCTAGTTTAGGTTCCATTTTAAATAAAGCAAAACGTATAGCGAAAGATATAAGAATATAAAAAGAAGAAATATGTCAGGAGAGAACGCTATATATGAGATACCTTGCAAATGTGGGGATATCTATGTTGGAGAAACATGTTCATTTGAACGACGTACAATAGTTTGCAAAAAGACTTGGAACAATCTGGCAACACAAAGATTCATTTTTTTCTAGATTCACTTGAGCCTTTGTTTTACTGTCATCGTAGATTCATACCTAATAGATTATCTATTAAAAATATTCATCTATTGTATTAATTAATTTTTTGTCTTTATTTAATAATACCGTGACATGACAAAGACTAACAGTCTGAAATCACATCATATTTCTGTATTACATTATTGGAACATAGGAAGTCGTTCTGCCAGAAAAATCCACCGAGCTACGGAGATACCATTGTCTACAATTAGTTACCAGTTGAAAAAGCTCAAAGCTCAAGGTTCTCTACAATATCGAGCGGGCAATGGTCGAAAACGTAAGATTGATGCCAAATGCAGTCGAGCCTTAGGTCAATTTATAAGGCGAAATAATGAAGTCACGTTGCACGAATTGGCTGAAAAACTACGTAATCAATGTCAATTGACTGTTTCCACCAGCATAATCTCACGTCATTTAAGAAGACTTCAATATGAAAATTGTTTACCATTAAAAACACCAATGTTGACACTGGAACACAAAAAACACCGAGTTGAATGGGCTAAAGCACATTTAAATAACAATTGGAAATCTACAATATTTACCGATGAATGTTCATTTCAATTGATTATTGATTAGAAATACAATTCGTCGCTGGTCAAAACCCGCAAAGAAGAAAAGAAAAGAATTCCAAAGAATAGACAAAAGGTTCATGTTTGGGGTTCCATCAGTTATCGTGGAACAGTTGGCTTCCATTCATTCCAACGTATTATGAACAGTGATTATTACATCGAAATATTAGAGAACAACTTAATTTCAAATGCTAAACAAAAATTCAATAATAAATGGCGACTTCAACAAGATAATGATCCTAAGCACCGATGCCCAAAACCTCAGAAATGGTTGGCAGCAAACGTTCCACATATTATGGACTGACCATATTAGTAGTTATACTTTGCTTCATGGCATAGCTATGATATGAATTAAAATTTGATACTTTTGAGCTAGCGGTTGATTTTCGAAACCAACTAGTTTCTGTTGTTTCACTTATTTAATCTATAC